CGTTGAGTGCAGGACTCTCCGACCAAGTCATTGACTACACCCAGTGCTGCCTTTAGACCTGGACATCTGAGGCCACTGCCCTGCTGCCCATGTTTTAGAGGGCTCTCTTCTGGCCACGCTCTTTCACATGGGGTGAGGAGTCTGTGGGCCAAAGGGCCTAGCCCGGGCAGAGCGCACACCCCTCTTGTAGTCCATGCTCAAGCTGTTCGGGACCCTAAGAGTCTAAGTACATTCCAGAACCTTCACAGGCCTCCTCTGCACATCTGTGCTCCTGAGAGTGGCCATGCACACTAAGCCTGGGGCGTGGGGGAGGGGCCGTGCTCCCAAGGTCCCAAGGCCTTTCCCAGTGAGGGCTGGAGCCAAGAACTGGAGAAAAATGAGTGCCAGGTTGTGAGCCAGCACCACCCACAAAATTTAGGGGTGGGCCTGACAAGAGGCCAGGGGAGCTAGGGCTGGCTAGGTAGCTTTCTCATAGAATGGAGGGCCTAGTGCTAAAGAAGAAATGACTCAGCCTGGCTTTTTAGGAAAACCAAGCCTTTGGGTGAAGGTAGGAGTCTTGCCAGGTCAGAGGTAAGGTCCCAGGACAGCACGGCCTCCTGATCCTCAGGGCTAACCCCATGTGCAAGATCGCTCACAGCAAATTCCGCTGTCCACTCCTGAAGGTTATTATTTTTATGAAAAGCTACTACTGGGTGAGTGCTTAACAGATTCTAAATAATTCAGTTACCACCTAATTAACCCTCCACAGCTCTAAGGCAAATAATGCAATTCTCCATATACAGACAAGGAAATAAAGTTCAGGGAGGCTGTACAAAGTGGCCCGGGTCACACAGCCTGTAATGGTGGAGCTGCTTTTCTCACTCGGGCAATTTAGGCTGCGGTGCCCCAATGGGAATATAAAGATAAACCGATAGCTACGAAAACAGAGCTCTTTACAGCAAATAGGACCTGCGAATTTAAGTATTAGGCTGTTATCATCCCTGACAATACATTCACTGAATCATTCAGTAAACATTTATTTTAATTTTTAAAATTTTTATTTATGTTTGTTTGTTTATATTTTGAGACAGAGTCTCTCTCATTTGCCCAGGCTAGAGTGTAGTGGTGCAATCTTTGCTCACAGCAACTTCTACCTCCCAGGTTCAGGCGATTCTCCTGCCTCAGCCTCCTGCGTAGCTGGGACTATAGATGCACACCACCACGCCCTACTAATTTTGTGTATTTTTAGTAGAGACAGGGTTTCACCATGTTGGCCAGGTTGGTCTTGAACTCCTGACCTCAGGTGATCTGCCCGCCTTGGCTTCCCAAAGAGCTGGGATTACAGGCATGAGCCACCGTGCCTGGCTATTCAGTAAACATTTAATTGTCTGTATCTACATGCCAGATACTTTGCTGGGTTATGAGACAGAAAGATGAGTAAGCTACAGTCCCTGTCTTCAAGAAATGTAGAACAGTGGTTCTCAAAATTCAGCAAGCCCCAGAGTCACCAGGAGGAATAGTTAAACCACAGGCTGTGAGGCCTGCACTCTGGGTTTCTGAATCAGTGGGTGTGAGTAGGCTCCCAGAATGTGCATCTCCAGCGAGGTCCCAAAAGATGCTGACGCTGCTGGCCTGGAGAACCCACTTTGAGAACCACTTTGATAAAAGTTAGGGCAATCAATATCCTCTCCGAGAGGCAACATAGAATTGCATTGCTCTCCCTTCTCTGAGCAGGAGGCACGAGGACAAAACAAACCTCAGAATCACCCCTGAAGGAGGAAACCATTCCGAAGTTTCTTCAAGCACAGCCAAGCCACAGAGGGTGGCCTTGCTGAGGTCTCCCTGGGAATGGGAGGCAGGCGAGCACCATCCTGTGAGCCTTCTAGAGCTTGTTAGGTGTTTTATAACCCTGGCTGGATGGCTCACTTTCCTCTGATCCTTCTAACTGCCTGTCCCTGCAGGCCCACAGCAGTTACCCTGTCCTGGTTCAAACCTGGTGGTGACGTGCTTGAAGATCTTTCTACCAGTCCAAGGGAAGGGGCCAGAATTCCCAGGAATGTCTCTTCAAATCACTTGCATTTGATTTCGGGATGAATAGAGGGAGCAGATGTCCCACATTGGTGTGAACTGAGAATGAGCTGGCTGCCTTGTGCTTTTCCTCTCCTTCCTGCAAAAAGGCCCAGAAGACGATCAGCAAGGAAAGCAGCCACTAGGGAAGGCAGATGAAAAATAAATAGAAATGCATGATTGGCTGGGAGCCCCTAGGGATTAACTAACTAATTAATCCCACAACAGTTTGACCAGGAACTAATTAATCCGTTAAGTACTTGGAGGGCCCAAGGCCCCGGCCAAGAGCAGGGAGAGGCTTCACTTCTCTCCGGAGGCTGGCGCGGAGTGGGACTGTCCTCCAGGGTCTCCAGGGAGGGCCTGGGTGAGGACTGCCCTTCCCAAAAGCGTTGGTTCCCTCTGCATCAGAAATCTGCTTTTCAAGCGATTTCTTGAGCCAGATCCCTGTGTCACTCTGCGCAGGGAACCGAATCAAAGAAGAGAGCCCTGGGGAAAGGCAGCTGGTCTTCAGTCTCTCCAAGTACGGGAGCCACAGAGAGTTAGACCTGGAAAAGTCTTCAGCCATCTGGTCCCTCCAACCCACTTTACGGATGAAGAACAGAGTTGACAGGTTACCCTGGTGGGCCATTTGGACTTAGAGACAAATGATGTTTCTTTCCGATCATTCCTACACAGCACCCAGATGAGAGGTATTCAGATCGCACTTTAGGCGCTGTCTTTAAATCCACCTCAGAAGTCAACAGGCACAGAAATCTTTCTTAAAACAGTGTAGTCTGGGCTGGGCACAGTGGCTCATACCTGTAATCCCAGCACTTTGGGAGGCTGAGGCAGGCAGATCATGAGGTCATGAGATCAAGACTATCCTGGCCAACAGGGTGAAATCCCATGTCTACTAAAAATACAAAAAATTTAGCTGGGTGTGGTGGCACGAGCCTGTAGTCCCAGCTACTTGGGAGGCTGAGGCAGGAGAATTGCTTGAACCCAGGAGGCGGAGATTGCAGTGAGCCGAGATCACGCCATTGCACTACAGCCTGACCAACGGTGCGAGACTCCACCTAAAAAAAACAACGTAGTCTGATTGACTAAGATCATCATTTTTTTTACGGTCTGGGGTTTTATTTTATTTTATTTTATTTTATTTTATTTTATTTTATTTTTTGAGACAGAGTTTTGCTCTTGTTACCCAGGCTGGAGTGCAATGGCAACATCTCGGCTCACCGCAACCTCTGCCTCCTGGGTTCAGGCAATTCTCCTGCCTCAGCCTCCTGAGTAGCTGGGATTATAGGCACGCGCCACCATGCCCAGCTAATTAAGATCATCATTTTTTAATATGATTCTTCATGAGCTTTGGTAACAAATTCAAGGCTGGTCACAACATATTCAGGTGGCTCTCACATAGATCTTTCCTCTCATTAGCTTTTCTGACACTCTTTTTAATCTTCTGTTTTCCTGAAACCCAGGTCACCTCATGTTACAACCTGATCTCCAAAAAATCTGACAGCAGCCATCTGGGAATGTAAGCTACTGTCAACCTTTCCCAGAGGATGTTTTTCTTTAGACTCCTCTCTCCTTACAGAACAAGGGGCTGTACAGCGTAAGTGGTAAAAGAATCTCAGCTGGGCATGGTGGTGCCCACCTGTAGTCCCAGCTACTTGGGAGGCTGAGGTAGGAGGATTGCTTGAGCCCAGGAAGTCAAGGTTGCAATGAGTCGATATTACAGAACTGCACTCCAGCCTGGGTGAAAGAGAGAGACGCTGTCAAAAGAATTAACATAAATAAAAATAAAAATAAAAATAAAGGAATCTTATAGACCAGGCAGCAAGTATTAAGAAATTCTAGAACAGACACTCCTAGAATCACAAAATGAAATGTGCGAGGCATGTGTCATACTATCAGCAACACTGAATGCTGAGTGGGGGCCATGCCCTTGATGGTTCACTTAATACATGTGTGCTGTGTGCCAGGCTCCAGTCCAGGTGCTAAGGGTGGAAGGTTGAATCGGACATGAGCCCATGAGGGGCTCCCTGTCTAGTGGAAGGGAGGAAAAGGGCAATGATTAAGCAAAAGTTGCCTCTAAGATGAGATGAGTGAATTAAAGCATGCTGTCTAGTCCCTGTAAACTGAAACCCCATCCTCTAGAATGGGGTCAGCCAGGTGAATGGGTCTTGGCATGGGGCTGATCGAGTCTGCAAACTTGCAAACCTGCCTTTAGGCAGAGTTGGGGTGTAATGCTCCGGCTTTTGAATGTATCAGCATCACAGAGTGAAAGGGCTTCTTAAAACTCCAGATGGGGCTGGGAGTAGCAGCTCATGCCTATAATCCCAGCACTTTGGGAGGCTGAGGTGGGTGAATCACCTGAGGTCAGGAATTCGAGACCAGCCTGGCCAACATGGTGAAACCCTGTCTCTACTAAAAGTACAAAAAATACCCGAGTGTGGTGGTGCACGCCTATAATCCCAGCCACTAGGGAGGCTGAGGCAGGAGAATTGTTTGAACCAAAGAGGCAGAGGTTGCAATGAGCCAAGATTATGTGACTGCATTCCAGCCTGGGCAACAGAGTGAGACACCATCTCAAAAAAAAAAAAAAAAAAAAAAAAAAAAATCCAGATGGCTGGGCTCCACCTCGAGTTTCTGATTCAGTGGGTCTGGGATGGGGCCCAAGAATTTGTAGTTCTAACAGACTCTAGATGACGCTAATGCTGCTTGTCCAGGGATCACACTTGGAGAACCACCATGCTGGACGGTTCTGATCGACCCAAGGTGCCTTGAAGGAGGGACCTCCCAGCAGGAGCCTCCACTACTGCCACCAGGACCAGGCTGTGCTGCAAGGCCAAGCGTGCCACTCACTTCATTCATTCTCTGCAGACCTTTTCCTGCTGCTTTTAAAATGTATTTAGTTAGTGAGTTAGTAGGGTACGTTTAGAGTTATTTATCAATCTCTATTTTTCACATAGAGTGAAATGGATGAGAATCAAATCCAGATGGCTGGAGACGATGTGGATTTACCCGAAGATCTCCGGAAAATGGTAAATGAAGATCAAGAAGAGGAAGAAGATAAAGATTCTATTCTTGGGCAGATACAGAATCTCCAGAACATGGACTTGGATACCATAAAAGAAAAAGCCCAGGCTACCTTCACTGAAATCAAGCAGACAGCAGAGCAGAAGTGTTCTGTGATGTGAGGGTGGGAGGGGTAGAGGGAGGGCTCGAGCCATCCTTGGAAAAGACCACTCTCCTGTGGGACGTTCCAAACAGTACCTGTTTTAACATAGTGAACACGGTTAGGAAAACCACGATGATCTATTGATAGATAATGATTGGTTGTTCTAAATATTCCTGGCAGAGCACTAGCTAGCACCTTGCAGCAAGAACCATACTTTTCTCTTAGTTATAAGTGAGATGGACTGCAAAATTTCAGTCGTAAATGGTGATGCCGAACATGTATCTGCTTAAAGACCTTGAATGAGCCAGGAAGAAACAAAAGCAAGTGGCATTTCCTCTCCAGCTTTCTTCCTTAGAGGCCAAGTTCTCAGCCTGTCCAGCTATTCACAGGACACCAGGTCCCTTCAGAGAAAGAGGTGAAGAGTCTAGGTGTCCACTCCTTGGAGGGCAACCCTCTAAGGAGCCAGGATGCCCACAGGGAGCTGAGGCCGCAGACTCCAGGGCAATCAAAAGTCACCCTCACCCTTCAACCTCTCAGGCTCCTTGAAACTTGCCAGTGATTCTCATCAAGTTTGGTCCTTGGACAATTCTCAGCCAAGTGGCAGTAGCGGGGATGTGGTGAATGGTGAGGAACTGAGGCAGGAAATGGACCTCACCAGCCCTTTGCATTGGAGATCATCATTCTAGAGGCCATGTGAAAAATGGACTCGAGGGAGGCACAGTTAGAGGCAGAGGAAAACCAGGGAGGCGACTGCTCTTTTTGAGTTGAGCTTAACCCTGTACTTGGTGATAGCAATGCGAACACAGTGGGTAGACTAACAGAGAGCATTAAGAAGTTAAATCAGTCTCTCTCTCTCTCTCTCTCTCTCTCTCTCTCTCTCTCTCTCTCTCTCTCTCTCTCTCTCTGTCTGCTCCCAACCTCTCTCTCATCCCCTTCTGTCCTTCCTGCCCAATCTCCCTCTCTCTCTTTTTTTCTCTTCTCCTGTCCCTTCCCATCCCACCCCTTCAGGCTACGTTCCAGTAAATCACACTGTCATTTGGTGCCACAGGCTTTCAGGGTAGATGCTGATTTTTTCCCCCTAATATCTGCTCTCTTTCAAAAGGAATAATTCAAAAGACTTAGGACAATTACAACCAAACACTTGGAGCTATTTAGCTAAAGCCCATCAAACCAAAACGAAATACTGTTTTTTTGGTGAATCTGTTCATATGGTGAATAAGGATCAGAAACAAATTTTGTCAAGAAGAACTGCTCTATCAAAGGAAAAGGAAACTAGGACTAAAAACTTAGGGTCTAACTTGTTCTAAACCCAGCGTTCCCAAATGTGTTGTATAAGAAGTTTCATGTTATAAAAGTATTCAAATAAAACAAATGACTAGAGGTCCACAACCTTTGGTCCTTGGAAAAGTTTAGCCTCTCTCAGAAGTTCCCGGGAGGACATTGGTGCAATGGCTGAGGCTAATTAACCTTCTAGTCCACAAACTCAGATGCCGGGGTTACATCTTAAAGCCATGCTTATCTTTTATCAGAAATGGCATGGGAGTTGTGATTTGTTTCAGAGCAAAACTTTACAATACTTCTTTGGAAACTACAATATAATAGATAAGATTTGTCTTCAGTTTCATGCTTGACCCTGTCCTGTGGTTGGCGGGGGTGGGTGGTATGGACGGGTGAGAGGAGCGCATGTGGCCTGATGTTTGTATACTTTGTATAACAAAATACTACAGCTGCCAAATTGTTCCACAGACTAGCCTCAGGATGACATGGAAGATGGGCTTTCTTGTAAAAGATGCAGCCAGTTCTGCTAAGGAAATCATGAACACTTCCTCTTGACCCTCAACGTTACTTCAGTATAACTTGGTCATTGTCTAATGAAGCTCTGCAGCTGCTAGAAGACTCTGACCATGATTCCTCACATATCACACTGCACAGCCCCATGACACAGCCCAGTACATCACATCACCCCACACGATGGTATCCCACATCATGTTACCCCAGACCACAACCTATCACCACAACACCGCACCCCACACTAATCCACCCCTCCCTCAGCAAACCACCCCGCCCCAATCAACACCAAATCACATGTGTGTGGGTTGGGAGACAGAGGGCATGTATTAGGATATCCAGAAGGCCCCTTTCTCTCTAGAGGGCAGATAGGTGTCTCTGCTGTATGATGTCAATGGGCACAAAAAGGTCTCCCATCATCAAAACCTAGAATCCAACAATTATAAAGGACTAGAGGGGAATCTATTTCAATCTCCCATACAATAAAGGGACCCTTTCCAAGTTATCCCAGTTGAGCCTTATTTGAAAGCTTCCAATAGTACAGAATTCACTATCTGCTACTCCAAGGAAATTTGACAACCAGTCATTCCATTTGTAGACAAATCTAGTTGTTAGAAAATCCTTCTCTTAAGCTGAAAATGGTCGCATCTTTAATCCACTGGTCATTGTTCTGTTGAACGGAGCTGCAGATTGTGCCTACATTCCCACTCAGGCTTTGATACATCCCCTCTCAGTTTGCTCTTCATCAGGAAGACATCCTTACTTCTTTTTGTAAATTCTCATCATACAGTGGGAACGCTGTAAACCCACTGGGTAATTGAGCTCTGACTGCCAGCGTCTACGAGTGTAGCCAGCCATGCAGAAAACCGCGATGCTGTCGCCTTCCACAGCCTGCCACTGGACTTGATGCTTGAAGCCATTCCTGAGCCAACTCATGGTCAGGAATAAAGATTTTAGTCCCAATTCCACTAGCACATGACCTTGGACAAGTCATTTATTCTATCTGGAAATCCATTTTCTCAACAGTGAAAATCAAGGGGCTGGCTTACTCTACCTTCTGTAATTCATTCTGTGGTTTCAGGGTGGTCACTGTGGAGATTTATCTTGCGGAAGAGAACACATTAGCCCATTATCACTGCCACATAACTAGGTTTCAGTCCCTTTACTAGCTTCAACTGGGCGAAGGGACACCTGGCCCCATGGGTGAGGGGGAGGAAGAGAGAGTTTTGATAGATACTGCAAGAGAGAGGATCAGGAACATGGAGTGTTGCCCATGGAGAGAAAATCTAGAGATCCTGGTGGGAGGGGCGGGTTGGGGAGTTTCTATCCAGGCAGAAGGAAACATAGTGACTTTGGGGAGAGGTGCTGAAGAATAAATTCCAAAAAGACAAATTAAATGGACTTCCCAATTTTGCTTAGAGTTAGTCTAGTCCCAATTAGATATGAGCGGCTACAGTACAATGAAGCAGGAGTTCTACTTTTGAAAGACAGTTCATATGGTGAGCTTGGTTATCCAGAAACCAACTAATCTAGTTTGTGAGTTATATAAGTACCTCAGTTTTTGCTTCTGGCACTAGAAATTTAGTCAAATTCCTGCTTACAAACAGAACCATCAGTGAGAGGAGTAAAATTAAACGTGAAAAATCTAGACCTTACAGCTTCTGATAATAGAGAATAAGTTCCTGCTGGATCAACCCTCCTGGGAATAAAAACTTTAAACTATAAACAAAATACAGAGAAACAACTGCCTGAATGCATTGGAAGCAGCCAGAAGCAGGTCCACACTGGAGAGAAATGAACCCTGAACTGGGAAGAAGAAAAAAAGCACTGGTGAGTTTTCCTTTGCTTACAGGTTTCATCTGAGGGCAGACCCCACTTGAAGCCAAATAAGACAATTAAAACCCAGAAAACCTCCAGCCTTAATGGCTTGAAGAACCAGCAGAGTTTGGAGTGCCCACAGCAGCTCAAAATGAAAGAGTGAATCCTAGAAAGGAGATAGCGATAGGAGGGGGATGCTGAATTCTATGTATAAAGTCTCTTCAAGATCCTGGATCCCGGCTAATCCCTGAATGATGCATAGAGTAGGCATACTCCAAGCAGCCAGTGAAGGCTAAACAAACTGAACTGAGAATTCTGTTACTGCCCACTTAGGAGAAACAGAGTTTTGAGTTTGAATCCAGCCACTTTTGCTGACTGTGAAACAGACGAACAAATGGAAGTAATCTTCAGAAAAACATAACAGAACTCAGCAAAGTAAGTAGAAGGAAGGAAACACTAGAGAGCACAAATTAATGAAATAGAAAACAGACAAACAGTAGAAAAAATTAAGAAGTCCAAAAGTTGGTTGTTTAAAAGATCAACAAACTTGACAGACACCTAGCTGAATTGCTTAAGATAAAAATAAGCGTACACAAATGACCAATGTGAAAATTGAAAGAGGGGATACACTACAGATCCTACAGACACTCAATAATGATAAGGGAATATTATGGAGAACGTTATGCTAATAAATTTGGCAGATATTTGAGTGAACTTAACAAATTCCTTGAAAATAATGTGCTTCCCAATACTGATGCCAGATATATAGAATAACCCTATATCTTAAAAAAAAGAAATAATTATTAAAACCCTTCCCACAAAGAAAACACAAGCTTAGATGGCCTCACTAGTGACGTTTATCAAATATTTAAGGAAAAATAGCACATTCTTGCCCAAACTCTTTCAGAAAAAAGAAGACATTCTTCTCAAGTCATTTAATAAGGCAAATATAACCCTGATCCGAAACCTTACAAAAACATTATTAAGAAAATTGAAGACCAATATCCCTGTTGAATTTAGATTTTTAAAATCCTTAGCAACTAATAGAAAATAAAAATCCAGGCTCAACGTGGTGGCTCATGACTGTAAGCACTTGGGAGGCTGAGGTGGGCAGATCATTTGAGATCAGGAATGTGAGACCAGCCTGGCCAACATGGTGAAACCCCATGTCTACTGAAAATACAAAAAAATTACCTGGGCATGGTGGTGTACATCTGTGGTCCCAGCTACTTGAGAGGCTGGGACATAAGAATCATTTGAACCCAGAAGGAGAAGGTTGCAGTGAGCTGAGATCACACCACTACACTTCAGCCTGGGAGACAGAGAGAGACTCTGTCTCAAAAAGAAAAGAAAGAAAAGAAAATCCACAGAAAAAGGCTAATGTATCATGAACAAATGATGTTTATCTTACAAATTCAAGGTTGGTTTAACATTCAACACTCAGTAAATATAATTCATCATATTAACACAATGAAAAGAGAAACCCCATATCATCATTTATGTTAGTAGAGAAGGCATTTATCAAAATCCAACACCCACTGTTGATTTAAAACTCCCAGCAAACTAAGATTAGAATCAAACTTTATCAACGCAATAAAGAGCATCTTGAAAAAACCATCGGCTAACATCCTTGATGGTGAAACATTAAAAGCTTTCCCTAGAAATGGAAACAAGTCAAAAATATTTATTCTCTTTATGTCTTTGCAACATTGAACCGAGGTTCTAGGCAGTTCAATAAGGAAGAAAAGAAAAAAATTGGAAAGAAAGATGTGCAACTGTCTCTCTTGGCAGATAATATGATTACCGATACAAAAAATTCTAGGACATTTCTAAAACAACCACTAGAACTAATAATCTAATTCAGTAGGGTTGCAGCAAACAGTGTCAGTATATAATGATCAATTGCATTTTTATATACTAGCTGCAAACAATTCAAAAATTGAATTAAAATGATTTTATTTTCAATAGCATTAAACAAAATTGTTAGTAATAAATGTAGTGAAAGATGGAGAAGGGCTGTACACTGAAAATTGTAACACATTTCTGATAGAATTCAAGAATATTTAAATAAATGTTTATGGATCAGAAGATTCAACATTGTCATGTTATCAATAAACTCTAAATGAGCTATAGAGTCCGTGCAGTCTCGATCATAATCCTATCATGTAGAAAAAGATGAGCTGTTTCAAAACTTTAACTGGAGAGGCAAGTGTAGTAGAATATACAGAACTATCTTGAAAAAGAAAAACAAGATTGGAAGATTCACTCCACTTGCTTAAGGCTGTACCGTAAAGTCACAGCAACCATGACAGCGTGATGACACTGGTACCGATCGGTACTGCTACCAGAAACAGACCCACACATATTTGTCAACTGATTTTTCTAAGTTTTTATTTGGAAATAATGATAGATTCACAGGTAATTGCAAAGACAGTACAGAAGGGGTCCCATGTACCCTTCTCTCACCTTCTCCAATGGTTATAATTACAGCGCAATATCAAAAGCAGATAATTAACAATGGCATAATGTGTGTGCATAGTTCTGTGCCATTTTATCACATGCGTAGATTCGTACATCCACTGCAATCAAGATACAGATCTGTTTCATCATCACAAACATCTCTCTTGTTCAACTCCTTTATAGTCACGTCTATCCTCTTTCTTCCCACTCCCAAGCCCTAGAAACCACTAACCTCCATCTCTTTTCCAACTGATTTTTGAGCAAGATACCAATGCAGTCCTATGAAGGAATGGAAAGCCTTTTTTTTCAATGTGTTGAAACACATCAAACCTACACCCTTATCATACCATATCTGAAAACTTAATTCAGTGTGGATCACGGCCCTAAGCATGAAAGTAAAACTGTGAAGATGGGAAAACAAAACACAGAAGAAAATTTTTGTGATCTTGGAATAAGAAAATCTTTTTTAGAGAATAAAAACATTTAATATTGATACATTAGGTTTTATCAAAATTTAAAACTCTTGCTCATCAGAGGACATCATGAAGAAAATAAATAGCCAAGCCACATACAAGTTACAGACTGGGAGAAAATATGTGCAAAATTTATATCTGACCAAGGACTGAGATCTTTGATGTATAGTTTTTAAACCCTTACAACTCAATAATAAAAAATTTTAAAACAAATTTTTGAAGGGCAGAAAAAGTGAGCAGACACTTAACAAAGTAAAGTATACAAATGGACAAGTATACATAAAAAAGTGCTCAGTGTAATTGTCAGGGAAATGAAAATGAAAACAGACTTGCTAGAATGGTTAAAATTTAAAAGACTGACACCACCAAGTTTTGGTGAGGATGTGAAGCAGTCCATCGTCTTGTATATATTGCAGTTTCATCTAAAAGTAAAACACTAGGCGAGGATCCTTAAAAAAAATATATTGAGCTGTAGCTAAGTATATGCATGCTGAAGAATCTGAAGTGACATGCACTGAAGTCTGCAACTTACTTTAAAAGCTCATCATCACTGGTCATTAGAGAAATGCAAATCAAAACCACATGGAGATACCATCTCACGCCAGTTAGAATGGCGACCATTAAAAAGTCAGGAGACAAGAGATGCCGGAGAGCATGTGGAGAAATAGGAATGCTTTTACACTGTTGGTGGGAGTGTAAACTTGTTCAACCATTGTGGAAGACAGTGTGGCGATTTCTCAAGGACCTAGAAATAGAAATTCCATTTGACCCAGCAATCCCATTATTGATATATACCCAATGGATTATAAATCATTCTATAAAGACACATGCACACATATAGTTATTGTGGCACTGTTTACAATAGCAAAGATTTGGAACCAACCCAAATGCCCATCATTGATAGACTGGATAAAGAAAATGTGGCACACATACACCATGGAATACTATGCAGCCATAAAACAGGATGAGTTCATGTCTTTTGCAGGGATGTGGCTGAAGCTGGAAACCATCATTCTCAGCAAACTGACACAAGAACAGAAAAAAATCACATGTTCTCACTCATAAGTGGGTGTTAAATAATGAGAACACATGGACACAGGGAGGGGAAGACCACACACTGGGGCTTGTAGGTAGGGAGGTGGGGGGGTGCTGGGGGAGGGATAGCAGGAGGTGGGAGGGTTGGGGAGGTATAACATTAGGAGAAACACCTAATGTAGATGACAGGGGAGTGGATGCAGCAAAGCACCATGGCACGTGTATACCTGTGTAACAAACTTGCACGTTCTGCACATGTACCTCAGAACTTAAAATATAATTAAAAAAATAAAAGAATAAAAGCACATAAAAAAGAAGAGATTGATGAGTAGTTAGAGAGATAAATAGGTGTCATAGAACAATATTGAAAAATATTAATTTTAGAATCTAGATGGTGGATCCATGGTATTTATAATCCTTACAATTTTACTATATGTTTTAAGTTTTTCTTAATAAATGCTTTATATTTTATGATTAAATGATGAAGCTGAAATGAATAAACCTCTTCACTTAACAGCTCTAGTGAGAAAGATATGATCAGAAGAGAGATGGAAACAAAATGATACAATGACATTTGGGATTCTCTGCATTTTTAAACTCTCATTTTCTCCTCTGCCCGATAGTTCAGATAGATATTTGTCTCATATTCTTATATTCATGTGTAGAACTTTCATTTAAAAGTTAAAGGATTGAACCATATATAAATATCACTCTCACCAAAAAATTCAAATTTCTGTAAGAATTTTATATTTCTTAATGCAATTAAAAATATAACGTTAAAATGAAATAAATATACTCTTTGGGAGCCCAAGGCATGTGGATCACTTGAGGCCAGGAGTTTGAGATCAGCCTGGCCAACATGGTGAAATCCTATTTCTGCTCAAAATACAAAACTTAGCAGGGTGTGACGGCACACACCTGAAATCCCAGCTACTCACGAGGCTGGAGCATGAGAATTGCTTGAACCCGGGAGGCAAAGTTTTCGGTGAGCCAACATTGTGCCACTCCACTCCAACTTGGGTGACAGAGCAAGACACTGTCTCAAAATAAAATGAAATCAAATATAGTGACAGTCTAACCAAAAGAATTCTGGAGGGAGAACTTATGTCTTGTTATCTGCATAGGCATTTACAAGACTAGTGCTTTCAAGCATTCAAGTATCAAGTAGCAGGCTTTGTGTGGACTTTCAGATTCAGCACCATGCTAAACCCAGAATGTTCCACCAGTCGTGGATGGGGGCTCCTGGAGACTTCTGTGTTCTTCTTTCCCCTCCTCTTGTTCATGTCGGTGGCCAGTCCATGTTTTTCTCAGAATCACTATCACCAGGTGTTACATCCACAGGTGCACTCCAAAGATGTTGGAGAAATAAAATGTATTTCCTAAAAAACACCACGTAAGTCACTGGAAAACCTCAACAAGAAACTTTTAGCTTAAGACCATACTGTGGCTTTTTGAAGAAATAACAATTTTAAAAGAAAGAAGAATGTCATCAGTCTTTGAGGGTTCACTGCAGTGGAATTCAGAGTCTCCCTGTTTCTGTTTTTGTTTTAATATTTCCCTTTTCAGAAATTCTAGTCAGGCCATAGTGGCTCATGTCTGTAATCCCAGAACTTTGGAGGCTGAGGCAGGAGGATCCCTTGAGCTCAGGAGTTTGAGACCAGATGAGACAACATAGCAAGACTTTGTTTCTACATAAAAACAGAAGGAGGAGGAGGAGGAGGGGGAGGGGGAGGGGGAGGGGGAGGGGGAAGGGGGAGGGGGAGGGGGAGGGGAAAGAAGAAGAAGAAGAGGAAGTTGTTGTTAGCGGGGCGTGCCTGTGATCTCAGCTACTCAGGAGACTGAGCTGAGAGGATTGCTTGCGCCCAGGAGAGAGAGGCTGCAGTGAGCTATAATCTATGATTGCAATCATAGATTATACTGTACTCTAGCCTGGGTGATAAAATAGATCCTGTCTCAAAAAGAAAAAGAAATTATTTTATTAAATTTTTAATTGTAGTAAAATACACAACAGAAAATGTACCATCTAACAATTTTTAAGCGTGCATTTCATTGGCATTAAGTATATTCACACTGCTGTGCAACTGTCACCGTCATCCATCTTCACAACTTTACCTTCGCAAACTGAGACTCCATCCCCCATACCCATGAAACAGTAACTCCCCACTGCCGTCTCACCATGGCCCCTGATGACCGTCTTTCTACTTTCTGTCTCTGTGAATTTGACAACTCTAGGTACCTCACGTGAGTGGAATCATATAGTGTTTGTGTTTTGGTAATTGGCTTATTTCACTTAGCATAATGGCTTCAGGATTTATCCATGTTGTAGCATGTGTCAGAATGTCCTTCCTTTTTATGCCTGAATAGCGCTCTACTCTATGTTTTGCTTATCCGTGTA